GCTAGGCTGGGGGTGAGGGTCCATATATGTACTGGAATCTAGGAGACATTTAGTAAAGTTTACCTGCTGCTAGTGGAGGTCAACCTATTAGAGGAACGAAGACAATGAACTAAGACAGGGCCCACTTGATTCTGTTCAGAACACAATGTCATATATTCATTCTAGAATGTATCTTTGTGTTACATATATCTCAATATTAGACAGTTCTTCTAGGTTTGCAGAATAGGGTCTTTATTAGTGGCAATGGTGAAGGAATAGCCAATTAGTGTTCACATCTTCATTGTGTTCTAGAAGAAAATCTTAATTTAGTGCTTTGATTCCAGCTCAGAATTATGTCTTCAGGGAAACCTTCACTGCATCTCATTATTTTCTTTCATAATACTTATATAGTGCTCAGGCCTTTCGTTCATAGGGTCGCTATGAGTCGTCTGTGACTCAACGGCACCTAACAACAACAACAACAACAACAATACTTATATAATTTATTTATGTAATTTTATGTTTGTTTATGTCTATCATAACCTCTGACTTGTTCCATAACACAAGCTCTTTCCTTTTGTTTATGAATTAATGGCACTGCATAGTATAGTGCTTGACAAAAAAAAATCACTTTTAAGTATTTGTTAAATAACTTTAGTTATGAATGTAATTGTAGCTATAACAATAGTTAAACTAATATGGTTCTGCTTTTTCTTCATTCAAATTTTCCTTAATGTGCTGTATAATCCATTTTCTAATAGGTGATATTTTCTAAATTCCTGACTTTTCTCTCATCTTTTTATATTGTTTCTGTTTAAATGTGGTAGAATCCTTTCTTTTCTGTAACCTATGTTGTTGCTGTTGTTGATTGCCGTCGAGTTGAGCACAACTCATAACGACTCTATGAATAAAACACCTAATTCCTTTCTATAGCTATCATAGTTTCTCCAAGTTCATAGAGTTTCCATAAACATGTGTTTTAGGAAGTGGATGCCACTCCTCCTTCCAAACATGTCCTACAACTGGGAGCTCCACCAATCACTATCTACATTATGGTATTTGACACCCCAATTGCACAAGGTTCGGCATCATAGCAAACCCAGGTTACCTCGGTACAGAAAATTGACAAAGAGTGATGCACAAAGTAGAAGAATGTCCCTCCTAAATATAACAACACTAGTTCCAGGTAAATGTCCTCAAGTCGAATACCACTCATGAATAGCAACCCTATGAACAAAAGACCTGAACTCTGGTCTATAATGAATGTCATTTCTTTACGTTTATAGTGTTTATAGAATTTCCAGAGGCATTTGGTTTAGGAAGTGGATACCACTCCTGCTTCCAAACCCGAATCAATCTGAAAGCTCCTCCAAACACTGTCCATGATGGATAACCATCATGGCATTTAACACAGCTATGACACATTGATTTCGTAGTCAGTGTTCTTGAAACGAAGCAATAATCTCAATATCATTACTTCTTACTCCCCTTAAAAATTTTTTTTGTTCCATCATTGGACATTTTCTTCCTTTTCTCTCCATTCCCCCTCCCCAGAGTCCACTTTGTAATGCACCTTTTTGTTGTCATCGTTCATTGTCGATCCACTTTTCCTATTCTTCCCGCATCACTCCATGTCAGTCCTATCATAACAGCAGTGTTGTGTTTGTCCTTATATGATTGAGATATTTCACTCAGTATAATAATATCTTCCAGGAAATACCATTTGACCCACCAAGTCTACTCCCCGGGAATATACCGTAAAGAAACCAGAGCTGCAAATCAAATAGACGTGTACGCACTTATGTTTATTGTTGAGTTATTCACAATGGCAGAGATGGAAGCAACGCAAGTGACCATCCACAAACGAATGGACAGAAAAACTATAATACATTTACATCATGGAATCTTATGTAGCCTTGAAAAACAATGAACTCATAAAACTTACTTCCTCCATAACCAATTGAAATCTGACATTTTCCTCACTACTTCCTCAAAATTTGTCTCTGTATTCTAGTCAAAGCAATGGCTGTTTTAAGTTCAGATTTTACTTAACTATTCCACACATTGCCTTGTAGGAAACCATTTTCTAACTTTATTCTACCTTTCCGCTTCTTTTTGGGTTTTAGATTTTATTCTGCCCCTGTTGGTATTAATCAGGTCTTAATTCTTTATAAGTGATATTCTTGTATAGAATTCATGCACATAGATGTATGTTTCTTTAGAAACACCTTCTGTATATGAAAAAAATTTTAGATCTCTGGCTGAAGACCCATGGATTCAATTGCCTAATGTAAATTTTTATTATAATAGCTTTGTTTGTTCTTTGTTCTCTGTTTATTTCATTAACTTTTCCCACCTCATTTTTCTTTTCTTTGAAAAATAAAGCATTGGTTAAATAAATAAGAGAACTAGAAGAAAAATACTTCAGATGAAGAGTTACTTAAATGATAATTGTACTTAGTTGGGTTCTGGTTAGGATTTGTTCTTTAACACCCTGTACTTATTATCCTTAAGTGACATGATCCTTTTAAATATTATGTAGGGATTTCATGATATAATTTCTTCATTTGGTAAAGTAACTTGTCTATGTTCACCTTACATTAACCAGTCAGAAAGATATGTTTACAGTAAAGAAAAACATTTCTTGCCAGTGAGATTTTTCCAATTTAATCCTGAAGTAATGGAATGCAAATAATTTTTTTCTGAAGAAAAAGTTATTAATTTTAATATTTTCTCTTTCTAGACTGTTACAAATTCACATAAACGGGATAGTCAATGATGACTCTTAAAACAGCACTATGTGATTTCTAGACAATTGTTGCTGTTGTTGTTGTTATGTGTCATCGAGTCATTTGTGACTCATAGCAACCCTATGTACAACAGCCCTAAACCCTGCTCTATCCTGTGCCAATTGTATTGCCTCTGACACACCCATCCTGATTACCCCAGTCACTGAATCAATC